GCATACATTTTTTGAAGTATTAAACACTTTTGTCTATTTTAGCAAGAATTCTCACATCATTCCATAGCTCCTTCAGAATAGACAAAGTAAATACTATTATTTTAAAGGTATCAGTAAAAACAAGTATTTCTGTGTGAAGAATCTTTCAAAGTAATTAAAACAATACGATTTAACTTAGTTTTCTGGATGATATATTATTTTACCAAAAGTAGTTTTCTCAAATATGGTATTGCTGTGCACCAAGTACTTCTTATATGTAGCCTTTTAAAATAATATTAAAGCTTATTTTTGACGTCACATTACAAGGTATCCATTTGATATTCTATAGTCTTCGTTCTTTACTACCAAGATTATGAAAGACATTAAATACACACAGATAAACACAAGGATAAACACAAAGAGATCTACTTTGACATTTATCACAGCTGTGTATGTGTATAACATATGGATGTATAGTTATGCCTCACTTAATAACAGCAATGCTGTCTGACAAATGTGTCATTAGGCAGTTACAGAGTGTACTTACACAAACCTAGATGGTATAGCCTACTACATACCTAGGTTCTGATGGCCTATTGCTCCTAGGCTATACACTTGGCAATTGTAATGTAATGGTGTTTGTTTGTCTAAACATATCTAAGCTTAGAAACGTACCATAGGACTGTATGATTTTATAGTCCTATGGGACCATCATTAGATATGTGGTCCATCACTTACCAAAATGTCATTATGTGGTACATGACTGTATTTGTAACAGAAATAAGAATCATTTATAAATCTATGACTTAAAATTTTAACTAGCTACCTTCAATAACTCTATAATACATTCTTGATGAATTCAGGAAACATTTTTTGCTGATTGTCCACATCACCAATAATATTTTTTTCTGTTCCATAGAGATTTAAAATATTTATTGCCAAAGTTAATTATTTGATTCATACTCATTTCATTAAGAGATAACCCAGCTCATTTGTTTTGTTTCCTTCTGCTATAATATATTGTGAATGAGTGCATATATATTTTAGTTTGTAAACTTAACCACTTCTTCCTAGTACAATAATATTGGGCCTAAAAAACTTTTCCTATAAATCTAGCTTCCTTGATATTTTGATATTTGAGCAGAAAAGAATGATTATTGTGGTTCTTAGGTTATATCTACATAAAGTAAAATGCTACTCAATGTAGCTCAGTTAATCATAATACCAGAAATTCAGAGATTAAAAATAGTAAATTGATTCTTTAGCTGAATTTACCATTAGATAGAACTGGATTGTCATAGAATGTTAAGGC